CCTCTGATTCCTCCGGTTCGCCCCCGTACCGGCAAGCAGAGTAGCTGGTACAGCTGGAGAGCCCCACCAAGTCCATCAGGACCGCCTCCGAGTAGCTGGGCACCAGCTGCTGGTTGGATCGGATGTGCCACTCCAGCTCGGTGCTGTCCACCGTGTTGACGCGGGGCATCCTCCGGCAGAACGAGCGCTCCTCAGCCGGCGTCACCGCCACGTAGTCAAACCCGAAGAGTTTCTCCACATGGTAATGGACGTAGGAGGTGCGGTACTCATTTAGCACCCGCAGGGGCCAGGATAGGGTCAGCAGAGCCGCCACCCAGAAGACATAGTGGGATACATACCAAGGCAGGTTGTCTGGGTCGGAAAAGGCCACCATGTATTCCTTGAAGTCCACGTTTTTAAGGTGCATCCCCTCCCTGGCCTCCATGTAGTCATCTAGGCCCTCATTCTCTGTGAAGAAGCGGGCCCGCTGGGTCAGGTAGGAGTTCTCCGACTCCACATTGGCAAAGCTGAAACACTTGGTGAAGCGGAGCCGCGTGGCCGGGTAGCTCTCCAAGTCAATGAGGTCCTTGGAGATGTCCTTAACTCCACAATTGGAATAATCAAACTCGGCCTCTGCCACATGGGTGTTGACCCGCTCGTGATACACTTGGGTGGTGGTGTAGGCGTCCCCGTTGCGGTAGCGGGTAACCTGCCGGGTCCTGCGGACGTAGTGGTAGCTGATGGCCTTCCACCAGATGCAGGGGGTCGCCTGCTGCATCCGTTGCACACGCTCGTGCACGCTCTCCACGTCCACTTTGTACTGCAGCTCGTTACGGGTGTAGCAGTGCCAGCACTCCACCAGGTACACCACGTAGAGCATCACCAGGAAGGCCAAGGGGATGTAGACATAGCCGTTGGAACAGGGGCTGTCGTGGTACATCATGGACTTGCCCTTGTAAGCGCTGTCAAAGGTCAGCCGGGTCACCTTGGTGACGTGGCACCAGGTCATGGCTCCCATGCAGCCGTACATGAGGAGGGACAGCAGCAGGCATTTCCAGTGGGACTCTCGGCACAGGGACTTGCTGAGAGACTGCTTCACCGGCCGCTGCTGCTCCGGGGGAACAGGAGAAGGGGAGAGAAAAGAAGAGAGAGTCAGTTGGCCGCAGTGGCAGTGGGAAGGGGAGCAGGCAGCGGGGTGCTGTGGTGGCACTTGTAGCTTCATGAACAGGGACAAACAGCAGAAGCTGTAGGGCTCCCAGCCTCAGCGGGCAGGCCGGAGGCCAGGCTCTCTCCCAGGACGATAGTCCCACAGTGAGGGCAGCTGTCACCCCCCGCTTCCCTTCATGGTGCTCTGCCCCTCCTTGGGAGACAGCCAGAGCCCAGCTGGATGTGGAGGAGAGCGGCAGAGGGCAACTCTGGCAGCCTGCCCCCCGAGCATCCCCCTTCTTTAATGGGGAGTAACCCCCACCACTGCCACATCCCAGGGAGGGGTAGTGAAGCACAGCAAGATGGAGGCTGGGGGGATCTCCCCCACATACCTAAGCTCTTGCACCCATCCCACCAGTGTGGGCAGCTCTCACTGATGGGTTGTCCCACCTGAACACCTCACCACAGCTCATCCCACCGTGTTTCTCACCACTGACACACAAGTCTTTCCCCCTTTCCCAGTAACGACCAACAGCAATGTTCAGATTTCTCCTACCAGGACAGCACAAGCCGCCTGGGGTGCCTGTAAGGTGGAGAAACAGATCTTCTGCAGCTGGAAAAGCCTCTGTTTGGTAATGGCGATTCCCAACACAACACTTGGCAGCCCAAGGGGCTCTGAAGTGCTTCTCAAGTGCTTTATAAACCACACAAACAGGAAAGTACTTTTCCACAAGTGAAACACAGCCACTTCTGATGGGAGAGCAAGTGAATATGGAATAATGTGCTCAAAGGTGTTCAGGCTGGAAGAGAAGAGTACCCTACCCATCTGCAGCAGCAGGGAGGGCGAGTGGTGTGTCACGGCTGTCAGCAAATGTGCCTGTCTGCACTGGAATTTGGCTATGACAGCCCACACTTCTGCAAAAACTGCTCTCAGGTATTTCATGGTGAGGAAAGGGCAGGACTTCAGCAATAGGACTTTTGAAAGAGATTACACTGGTGCCTTCACCATAGGAACCGTGCAGGGTTTCACAAAGACCTGGGAAAGACCCCACTTAAGCAAACCTCTGTCACTCTCTGCAACACCCTGAAGTCTCAAGTATTGATCCAGCTCGGTCAGCGAGACCTGACATTATCACACCCAAAGGGAGAACGTGCAAAGGGGTTATTTGCTTTCTTATACAGAAGACTTCATCCAGCCCTAGTGCCATCCAGCCCAGCAATCTCCAAAGGTGCAACCTGAGAGGGGGGTGAGAACCCCAGCCTGGTGCAGATGCCACTAAACTCACGAAGAAGCTTTTCAGCACTGCTCTCCCTGCCCAGCTGCATGCAGCGCAGCTCCTGAGCTCACTTCCACCACCACAGGGGCTAACGCCAGCTGCAATGACACCACTCAGGGCAATGAAGTTCAAGCCTGGCCCCATCCCTCCTCCATTCCTGAGCACACTGGGCTGGAGACATCTTTTGTCCAGGGATCCCAAAGACCTTAACAGATTCACACTGCCAGAAAGTAGAGGAGGGGGACACTTTCAACCTTGCACGAAAAGGAAAAATTAAAGCAAGAACCAGAGGTCACAATACCACTGGCAGGTCTAGGAACAGATCTGCACCTCTTCTTTCCTCTAAGAAATGCCCCCTGCTCTCCCTGAAGAGCCCCTCAGCCCTGGCTTGGTCCCCTAAAGTCCCACATGCTAATCCTTCCTCCCTACCCCTTGCCAAAGCCTGGTCCACCCCATGCCAGTGGGACTTCTGCCACTGTGATTAGCAGGGCTGGATCCCGCCCAAATCTCCAACAGCGGTTTCTCTTCCAGAGGCAGGGAGCTTCTCTTCCCACCCGCCCCAGCAGCCAGCCCGCGATGAGCGGAGCAGGTGGCACATCCAGAGGGACCACCAGTGGCAAGGGGAAAGGTGGCACATCCCACTGGGGGTCCCTGGAGCATCAGCAGCCCTGAGCCCCACTCTTTGGGGCAACCGGCTGAGAGCGAGAGCTGGTGACAGAGACACAGAGCCCAGGGAAGGCAGGTGGTCTGCATGCAACACCGAGGGGCACAGGGTGGCTCTGCTCGGCAGCTCTGGCACAGACACACCAGTCTTCCCAGCGCAACCCTCCACTGCAGCAGCCTCACAGTCACGGGGCAAGAATGGAACCCTGGGGAAGAGAAAAGGCAGTGGTGAGAGGAAGACGAGGGGACACCCAGCAGGCAGAGCCACCTGAGCTGTGTCCTCCCTGCTCAGGTCCACGCTGCGGTTACGAGAGCCTTCCCGGATCCCTCGGCCTTTGCTCGGCTGCAGCGCAGTTCTCCCACCTCAGGCTGCTGTGCCACCACCGGGGTGGCCGAAGCTCTCCTCTCCCACAACTGCCTTCCACGCCACAAATCCTGACCCCAGCAGCAGCAGCCCTGGCTGTGAGGGTCTACGGGGACTGCTCAGCCAACGGAGGAAGCACCGGGGGGTCTGGGCAGGAGATGCAAGGCACATGCTAACCCTGGGGTGTCTGTGGGGTGAGAGGGCTTGCACAGAAATCGTGCCTTGTTTGGGGGGCGGGGGGAGGGGAGGGGCAGATTTGCAAATGGAGCACAAGGAATAAAGCAAAGCATTCAGCTCACTCATTTGACAAGTCGGGGAAAGGGCACCAGGGAGGCAGGTCTTCAGCCAGGTCCATCTCGGAAAAGCAAATTCCATCTCCCAGTGGCTCCCCCCGGCCCCTCCTCTCCCCCACTGCCCGCATTGTCCTGCTCAGGAGAAGGGCGATGCTGGCTGTCGCCCTGCAGAGATGCAGGCAAACCCCGCTGCGGTTACCCACGCGGGGCAGGGCGGCAGGAAGAGCGATGCAGCCCAGGCTTGGTTCCAGGAACTGTGTTAGCAGGGCTCTAGTCCACGCATTAGTCCCCTCCTAGCACTACGCAGCTTTTAGATACTGCAGCGCTTTCACAGGGTCACGCTAACCCTCGCTGTAAACTGTTTACAACCCAGTTTTGTCCTAGGCTTTTGAGGTAAAACACATACACACCGGCCCTGCTGGTGGGGTTTCTGAAAGCTGATCAAGTGCCAATGACAGGGGATACAACCACAGCAGAGACGGAGGAGGAGCCAGCTGCAGAGTCTAATCCCAGTAGGAACTGCAGCATCCCTGCTCCTCTCACGGGCTGAAAAGAGCTCACAGGAGCGAACAACTGCCTCTGCGGCTTCCCCCCCCAGAAGCAGCTGAATAACGTTGCCTCCTTGAGCTCTTTACCAACCTTGGAGAAGTCCAGCACAGCAAACATGCAGGTGAGAAAGCTGGGGAAAAGGAAATCCTTTCTGTCCCAGAACAGTGTCACTGGAAGGAGAGCAGGCTCTGATACAAATGCCATCATCATCTGCCGGCTGCAGCCTGACGGAACGAGGCGGAAGGCTTGCCCTACTTCACCGCAAACAAGGCTCTCCTCCATCGCTGGGACCCTCCTCCATTGCTCAGGCTTGAGCACCGGAAAGTGGTGAGCAAATCCGCTATTGCAGGTGCACCTGAACCTCTCTGCAGTGCTAGAGGGCAGAACTGGTCCAGCCATGGCTTGGGCAACCCCTTTGTGGGGACCCCAGTCGCTCTTCTCTGTGCTTCAGTTCACCACGCAGAACACATGGGGTAACACTCACCAGGCGCCTGGGCGCTAACTGTAACGCACATGGGGAAGGGCAAGGCTTAGAGTGTTGCTACAGCCTCCCCTCCCTCAAACATAGTGTTTGCCTCCGATGTTGCCCCTGAGCTGAAAGGAGATGGAGTCCCACACCTGCAGCTGCTGTTCTGGGAAGGGATGGAGGGGATGACTTCCGAGCAGCCATGAAGCAAACGGAGATGCCCGCAATGCACAGGCTAGAGGCAGGAGAAGAGAGGGCTCCCATCGCTGCTTGCACTGAACTCCTTTAAGATCTGGGGAATCCTCTTCTCAAAAAAGCCTCAAGGGGATAAACCTGCCCAGAGCCTCACTGACCAAGCACATGGGCCAAAATACCTTCATCACCTCTACAACCTTAATCCTGCAACTTTGAACACTAAACAACTCCAGAAATCCTTCAAGCTCTATCAAGCTGCTCCCTGAAACAGCCTTGTCCCTGGACCCATCCACCGTCCCTCCATTTAACAAGTGTTCCCTTGTCCTCACCTCCCACACCTCTCACCTGCTTCTCCCTGCAGAGACCAGCCTGAAATGCACCCCTAGAACGCTGAGCCCTCACTTTACAAGATGTCCTGGGGTTCACAGCACTAGGTGTCCTAGAGACAGCCCTCTATGGGGCTGAAAAAACAAACCACAAGCCCCAGAGCAGCAGCCTGAAGGCCCAAGTAGCTCCTGAGTGGCATGCTGTGGCAGCAGCTTGCAGGGGACTCCAGTGGGATTCCTGAGCATCAGTCTCCATGGCCCTGCCCTGCCAATTTGCTTACATCATCCAACAATTTAATAAGCCCTGTCCCCTTTGACCTCAAATCCCCAGAACAAGGCAGGTGGGGAGAATCCAGTCATTTCTAGGAACTGCCACCGTCTTCCAAGGCCCCAGACAGATATCGGCAACTCCTAGTCGGGATGGTCCCAGCAAACCCCCACATCCCACCCCACATGCTTACTTGCCCAGATTCAGGAACTACCTGCCTAGAAGAAAGAGCTGGCTCAGCCCCAGGCTGGCAGTGTTGCCAACTGCAGAGGAAAGGGGAAGGCTGAGCATCTAGGAGCCAGGGAACCCTGCCAGCAGTCACCTCCTGCAACTGTACCAAGGTCTCCATTTTACACAGCACCTTGGAGGAAGACTGGTTCCCTCCATCGGATCCCACCTGAGCAGCGGGACAAGGACACTTTTTTTCGCTTGTTCCCAGGCCGAAGAGCTTGTCCCCTGACATTTCATACCCTCCAAGGTGGAAATGCACTGCTGAGTGAGAGTCAGCTCACCACCGCTAAGTGTAGGTGTACGCATGTGATGCCAACAGGGACCAAGGGC